GCATTCCTGTACATAGCTTTTGCAGACTTGTCTTTCTGTGAATTTAAATGATGTCATTTGGCCTTTTTAGGAAACCACAGACTCAAAGCTAAGTACTACATGTTTTTTTTCTGCCAACAACAGAGAATTATCAAATGTGTATTATGTCAATAAGAACATCAGTTCCCGCTCCTATCAAATCTAAATAATCATAACAGTTAAAAAAAACAACTAAAAACTGGACTTTTACATGCTGGAATAAATGATGCCAATAAAATTGTAATTCTTCATGTTTGTGTAGACAGTGAAAGTCATTCACTTACACTGAATAAAAGTATAGCACGTTTTAAAAATATATTTAAATGAACAGAATAGAAACTCACATTTGATTTCATGAATTGATCTTGTTTTTACATGTAGTCTATTTGGATGTTAATTTATTCCTCGGGCTCCATACTAGATCTATTATCAGTGAATTAACATCATTAGTGTATATATATTAGTCTGTTTCTGCTTACTCACTAATGACACACTCAGGAGGAAGACGGGAAAACAGCAAGTGCACAAGGATTTCGTGCTCAACAGTGATGTGGGCTGAAAGGTTTACAGAGGATCATTCTCAGAAAATGACTCATTTGAACTGCCATCATACAGTAGATTTCGTTGCATTGATCGCCATGTTTATGCCATGTTGCGTTCCCCGGTTCAATGAATAAATAAATGTAAGTAGGTCACAGAGACTGAAAGTACTGGAAGCTGCTAATAAAGTATCGTGTGGATGTTGGATGGTGAGTCACCACTGAAAGGGTTTATCAGAGGTCTTCCAACTTCAGGGTATGACCAAGTGGAGAAACTGGCAGGAGCATATTCCAAACACTAGTGATAAGTACTTTATATATGCTATATATATAAAAAAACATTTCAAATGTACAATTCCAGGAAATGTGAAGGGCAAACTACATGCGCTTTATTCTGCCCCTCATATCTTGATGCTCACATAAGAGGCTTTAATTTAAGCCGTTCAATTAATGGACACTTAGGCAGTAGATTCATCAGCTTCATAAATCTCTGTCAATCTGCCCTGAAAGGTGTGATTTACAAACTTTGTTTTCACTCTGGTCATAACCTCTCTGCTTATAAAGAAATCGCCTCCAACACAAATATTTAAGACCATTATTACTCAACGAATGCGCAGAGAATAACAAAATAAAGAGGAATAGCAGAGAAAGGACTGAGGACAGCTGCTGGGTGTTTTCTGCATCTGAGCAGCTCACTACCTATCGCACCAGATATTTATCCAGCAGTGTGATTATTTGTAACGACCTGTCTGATTTTATTACACGGGAGCGGCGACAGAGATTAATCGTGCTGTCTTTCGCCCTGTTGAGTCCTGATGGAGACGATCTATCAAAGTGAATAATGGCTCTCTGCAGGTCGTTGCGCAGAGAACCACCTGTTGAGCCAACACAGGATTACAAATGAAACTTGCTAATACAGTCGACAAAACTCATTCATATAGGCTATATATTAAACAAAAAGCGCACAATAAATGTCTTTTGTCGGTGGCCATAAAAACTTTATCATTTCAAACATTAAAGTTAGTACCTGTTGGCTAAAAGTAGACCTTTCAGACTTACCAGTGAACACGAATTTCCAGTAAAAGATCGTTTTAACTCCGGCTTGTATCCCGGGTGGAAATCAGACAACGAGTGAAGGACAGAGGTTAAAATTGCAAAGAAGAAATTCTCCCTCCCCGCATCTCTCTCCCTCTCACTCCCTCTGCCTCTCTCCCCCTCTCTGGACTAAATACAGACTTGTGAGTTCACATGATTTCCCGCTGAAGAATCGCAGGCATAAAAATTACCTTGTTAATGATGTAGTGGCGCATTATTTGCACTGCCATGACTCAGTGTGTATTCACTATAGACATACGCGCGCACTGTGAGCATGTGGATCCAGTCTCCTACCTGTCATTGTCTGAGCATTAATGTACGCTAATGAAAAACAAGCAATTTGAAGTGTGGTCATATTGAAGGTTACAACAGGCTGCTGTAAAACATCTGTATTCACTGTTAAAATGTTGAACTTTTATTTATAAATGAGCCATTTTATGGAAATTCAGCAAAGAGAGGTGGGGTTGGGAGCTGTATGTGGTTATTAGTAAAGAAGAATACAGTAGCAAGGGGCCTTGGTAACATACATTTTTCTAATCACAACACACAAGCCAGAATGATGAAACTCAGCATATAGTGTGTCAAACAGTGCTTGGTGTCTTTCTACAAAAGCAGAGTCCAACACTCCGCCAGCTTTGGATGTCAACAAACATGAGAAAAAGCATAGTATTGAAGTAACATTGAAGTAAATTGTATGTTTTGTGCTCTACACATACAGTAATCACATGCAGACATACTGCATGACGTGCTAGAGAGAGGTTTCGACCAGAATTTAAAGATGTAGCTTGAACCATGACCCTTTAAACCATGAAATGAATTTGCGTTGCTGACCTGCTTTCAGGAGTCTTTTGCATATTATTTAACTGGAATTTTCAGCTATGGAGACAGCATCTCAGTGTGTGGCTCACCAGCTTTCTTAAGGCAGCATGTCCACCCACTACAATAACCTCAGCCAGTGTGTGAGTTTATTTCAGCATAAGGATGACTTGACTGACTTGGGTGTATGCCACCAGTCTGTTTTCAACTTAGGTCATGTCTCAGCTTTTATAAAGTTTATTTGTAAGATATGAATCAGTTGCATTTTCTTGGAAAGAATGTGTCAAAGTAACAGTGTGAACCTAGTACAGAGAAAGTGAAAGTCTGGATAGTGTGCGGCTTTGCTGGACCTCACACGACACCTGTTTTAATGTATTGTTACAATTGATCCAGAAATTCTGTCAAGTTTGTTAATTTATTTATGACTTGTGTTTATAATTTTAATTCAAACACATAAAACCCAAGTAGGTAATACACCACACTGCAGCTTAAAAGGAATTCAAAGCCTCACTTTGCTCCTCAGACAATATAAACATCAGCAAATGACAACAAAAGTTAGTTCTGTTGATAGTTTGATATGTAATGTTTGAATGTTTGAGCCTAGATAAGTTTCTTAGGGATGCTGTTTCCAAAAGCCAAGAATGAGTTTCCATGCTCAGCTGCACTGCAATGTGATTATATACAGTATGTTTTAACTGCTTGTGGTAATTTTGGATGAATTTTCCTGTTCAGCTGCTTCATGTTTTGCCTGCTTTCTCTAATGTCTTTCTAGGCTGCTGTTGCACCTACTTCACACTTGCAGTGTTTTCATTCAATCTTGGCTGAATGGATGCTTGCAGGGACCATGTGGGCATGTTCAGGCTGCTCTACCTTGACGTCTACATCCTTACCTGTTTATTTTGTTGCACCTGTTAGGGTGAGACAAGTTACTTCGTCTGTAGTCTGGAGTTTGACGATCTTAGCAAAGAGGTCAAAATCAGTCAAAATAATATCTTTTCTTTTCTTCTTCATCTTTTCTAAATATGGGCTGGAAATGTAATACTGCATGTCACCATGCAGCACAACAGTGGCAACA